TGAACATTGGTGCAAGTTGGGCGGCGAGTTAATTACCTGTAAATATAGGAATTGATGTGCATATACATACATCGTTTTTAACAAAAAAAATAAACGAGTTGAACAATTGAACTTAAATACTTGTGGTGGTTTTTGCTTTGCTTGGAACTTTCGAAAAGATAGTTAGGGGTTCATTTCGTCTTGGGTTCTCTTTAAATAAATTAAACAAACATGGATACATATATTCGGTTGGCGGACGCAGTAACTGAGTTTGAATCAGATTACAATAGCGTGCCCCAGACAGAGCATACAAAATATACTCTTGCGATCCAGCAAGAAGAACTTAAAGCAATGTGGCGAAAGGTTAAAGTAGCATATGAGGAATATTTAATTTCAGATAAGGCAGAAGCCAAAGATATTTCTTCAGTGAAGAAAAAATACAAGAGCTCATACTCAGTCTATTTGCGCTGCATGTCGAACATAGCAGATCTCCACGCAAAATTAGTTAAAAGTGAAAAGGATGTAGAAGATCAGTCCGACCGCGAACACAGTATCCACTTACCCCCGTGCGATACAGATGTATTCAAGGGCGACTATCTTTCCTGGCCAACATTTCGAGACATGTTCACGGCCATCTATATCCTGAATAAGCGCCTCACTCCTGTCGAGAAACTATGCCACCTGATCCAAAAAACAGAGGGAGAGAGAGATATTGTTAAAAAATGCCCACTCACCAATGAAGGATTTTCTACAGCTTGGAAACATTTAACGGATAGTTACGAGAATAAACGCATACTCGTCAATTCACAATTAAAGACTCTCTTTAATTTAAATACAGTTGATAGTGAGTGCGGCGGCTCGATTAAAAAATTGCAGAGAGAAATTAATAATTGCATCTCATCACTAAAAAGTCATCAAATTGATATATCAAACTGGGATGCAATTATTACTTACATCTGCTCAACCAAACTACCGGAAAGTACCTTAGCATTGTGGGAACAAACAGTAGAGAACAAAACAGAAATATCCAAGTGGGAGGATATGGATAAGTTTCTCTCAAATAGGTTCCAGACACTAGAAACCGTGTCAGGTATAAAGGGCACTACTCATTCCAGATTTTCAAAACCACAGAATGCTAAACATACCACTGAAGCCCCACAAAAAAGTCTTGGAGCTTTCCAGGCAAGTGTATCCAAAGTTACATGGCAATTGTGCCAATCTAACGAGCACAGATTAAAAGACTGCCAGAAGTTCCGTAAGCTTTCAACATCGGACAGGATCACACTCGTGAAGAACAATAATAGTTGCGTTAACTGCCTATCTTCAAGACATACTGTGTCGAGGTGCACTAGCTCTTACAATTGCAGCACTTGCCACCAAAGACACAACACACTCTTACATATCGACGCAGCCGCACCGAAATCGACTGTTCAAACGAACCAATCGGATCCAAAGGATAATGTTGCGTCCACTTCTGCACAGGCCCAATTGAGGCTCGATTCTTCAAGAGCAAATAAAAATTCAGTTAGCAATGTTAAATCTTGTTTCGCTAATACAAATAAAGGGATCTTATTGGGAACCGCGCGGGTCAATATATTTTTTAATAACACTACTTTTTCGGCACGCGCATTAATAGATTCCGGTTCGGAATGTTCGTTTATAACCGAAAGGCTTAAGCGTAGGATTAACCTGCCGTCCAAAAGTATGCAGGCCCAGGTATCAGGCATCAATAATACCGTGTCGGCGCAGGTGAAAGAAGCGTGTGCGATTCAATTGCGATCACCCATTGACCCTTTAATTAATATAGATACCACAGTGTTGGTTTTACCACAGCTGACCGGTAATCTACCGACCTGTCTGATAGATGCTATGACGAAACAAGCATTTCCCGACCTCATTTTAGCGGATAAGAGATTTTTCATTAATGAACAAGTTGATCTTGTCCTAGGTGGCGACGTTTATGCCCAAATAATGTTGAGCGGTATTAGGAAGAACGTTTTAGGTACTCTTCTTGCTCAGGAAACAGTATTCGGATGGATACTAACCGGTCAGACGGAAGCAATTTCAAACACTAATAAACGTGTATCGTTTTTTAACGAGGTGACCTTAGACAAACGTCTAGCCTCGTTCTGGGAGTTAGAAGACTTTTCAAAGCACAAAACCTACAATAAAGAGGAAGTTTACTGCGAGGACCTTTATAAACGCACAACTAAACGGAACCAGGATGGCAAATATACAGTATCGTTGCCATTCAAACAGGATTTTCCAAGGTGTATACGCTTAGGACCTTCACTCAAGATAGCTTGCTCACAATTTTTTCGTAATGAAATCCGTCTAGCAAAAGACCCTCCCCTACAAACTGAATACAATAGGGTATTGTCCGAGTATGAAACGTTAGGACACATGACGCTAATTTCTGACCGTATTCCGGGTGATGAATGCGAAAATTACTTCCTGCCACATCATGCCGTTCGAAAGGAAGAGAGCACCACCACCAAAGTACGGGTGGTCTTCAACGCGTCATGTCCTACAGCTAATGTGGTGAGTCTTAATGATGTGATCCATCCTGGACCAGTCCTCCAGAATGACTTGACAATTCTAATATTACGGTGGAGATTTTTTCGATATGTTTTTAATAGCGACATCGAAAAGATGTATCGCCAAATTTTACTAAATCCTGACGATACCAAGTATCAGCGAATAATTTTCCGAACAAGTCCAACCGAACCAATTAGTCTTTATGAGCTTAAAACTGTGACTTTCGGTGTCAACTGCGCACCCTACCTCGCGATTAGAACCCTGCTCCAATTAGCTGACGATATACAAAACTCGCACCCTATTGCGTCGGACATCCTAAGAAAGTATATGTATGTTGACGATGTTTTAGCTGGCGGTCACACCATCGAATCTGCCATCAAAGCGAAGGACGACATCACAGGAGTACTGCAGTCTGCT